AATTTGATTGGCCAGAGCCAGCAGGTGTGCGTATTGTAAGCGCCTTCTGTTTGGCGTTCTATCCTTGTTATTTTCACGCGGGTATTGAACAACCATCCTTCCCAACCCGGTCGGACTTGGATTTGCAAGCACTGTATAATATATTATACAGTATTGTACGAATTAATAGGAACACAAATAGATTTACGATAAATATTATTTATTGAACTAAAAAATACTAGTTTATAAATATTTTAGTATTATTTATTAGGAAATATGTATTGGCCTTAACTCGTTTCGGCATAGAATTAATCAATATTTTACAATTTTCCTTTATTTTGTCATCTCGAAACCATACCTGAATGAAAGCCTCAATCATCTTAGTTTTTATTGGAGAATTCATTTTTAGCAACCTGTCCTTGCATATAGCCCACAAATTCTCAATAGTATTAATGTCCGGTGAGTTTACAGGCCAGTCTAGAAGGGTTACCTTTTTGTCCTAGTATAAATTAGTCGCAATAACCGGCAAAATGACTGACATTTGGAATTACTTAATGCAGAGTGATAGATTATGGGATATGTCAAGAAAAACCTGTCAAAATTGTCATATAGAAATTCCTAATGTTCACATTAATTCGCACAATACTGTTTATTATCGTCCCCGTTCTGGCAAAATTCATTAAGTCCTAAATGTTGGTTTTAAGAAAAAAATACTCTTATGAACTTTTGCCTGCTAAGTGGCAATAGAATTTTAACTTAGTTAAAAGTGACAACGACTGTTGCATGCTAAAAATACAATACTGCACTTAATAAGTTTTTCTAGACCACAGATATAATTGTTCTATGATCGCGAAGGTAGTTAACTACTTTTAGACAAAAATGGAGTTAATATGTAATATATAATACATTATCTTATAAAACTAGATAAAATAATATATACTTTGTAAAACATGTTAGTATTATGCCCTCTGAAGGCAACATAATTTGCATGTAGTTTATATATCAAATAATAGCTAATTACACTGTTGTAGTTTTGGGGCCAGAAAAAAATATACAAAAATGTGAAAATGCCATTCCGACAGAAAATGGCCTCCTGAATCCAATGGTGCCCACCAAAAGTCTCCATCACGTCGAGATTTCGAGAATTTTTTTGTTTTGTTTTGGGGCCAAATTTCGGATTTTGAGTAATTTTAAGCTCATTTTTACAGCTTAAGTCTCATTTTTGGTATAGGCACTTACTGTGAAAGCAATATATATAGTATATACTATTTATATACAGGGTGTTTTACATTCGTGGCCCATTAGAAGTTACTGGGGAACAAAAAACATGCGTTTATAATCCATTTGAGTCTATTTTTCTAAAATATTTTAAACTAAATGCCACTTCCGGTTTAACCGGATATATATTTTATATACTATTTATAACAATTGGAACAATTTTCTGCGTGTGAACATGGTGACAAAAAAGGAAGACTTAACTTAAATAGACTTTATTTATAAACAAAAATGAAAAACAAAAAAATTCTAATCACATCACAGGATTACATAAACCAAAGAAAGAAGTTGGAATATCAATCTTCCTCCATTTCCAATTGCAAATTCCAGCAAAGGTCAGCCAAAAGTGAATTTAATTTTTTCCCACTGTACCAGTGCTCCAGCTGGGCGGAAACCTGGTGGAATCTTTCACCATGCTCCTCCGATTCAGTTGGCAATTGCTGATCGAATTGATTTTGGTGACTATGTAGAAAATGCACCTTTAAAGACATGCGCACACCGATATTTTCAAATGATAGCAACATATCTTCCACAAAGTCACGCCAGTTGTCTGCCCGATGAATGCCAAGTACATTTTCTATTACGCATTTTATACTATTCCAAGCAATGAGTTCTTCCTCTTCAAGAACATCGCTAAAACGATCGTCCTTCATCAATTTTCGGATGTCCGGTCCGTTAAATATGCCTAAAAACGATAAATTTAGTCATTCAATTCTTGAAAATATTATATAAATATTGTATATTAGTTGGTATTTGAATAATAGTTAAAATACTATCATATACCTTCTTTTATCTTCATTTTACTCAAACGAGGGAAAATGTACTGCAAACGTTCATATGCTGGCTCGTTCTTCCGTGCTACCAAGGATTTTATGAAGTTCTTTACAATGCCAAGCTTAATGTGGAGTGGAGGTAGGAGAACTCTTTCCATCGGGACCAGTTCCCTGTGGATAACATTGGCTTGTCCGATTGTGCGCTTTGTTCGCGGTAACCAGTCTCGTTTTTGATACTGCGCTTCATGTCTCGAATCCCATAGGCATAAATAGCACATATTCTTTGTGTAGCCCAATTGGAGACCACAAAGGAGGGCTACAACCTTTAAATCAGCACTAATCTTCCAAAAATGTTCCTTGTACTTCACAGAATCCAGAATTTGCTTCATAGAATCATATGTTTCCTTGGTATTTATAGAAAGCGCGATTGGAACGGGATTTTTTGAGTTGTCGACAAACAGGAGCACGGCTTTGAGGCTGCTTTTCGAACCGTCGATAAACAAGCGCCATTCTTCCGGTTTATATGTGTAATTCATGGCCGCCATCAAACCACTAATGTCATGACAATACGCGAACGAATTGTTTTGGTTAGCAGTAAAAAATTGTAAAAACTGTCGCTGGCGGCCACGAGCTCCAAAAACTTTTACACCTGGTGCCAAGATGTTAACGGCTTTTAGTTGTTGAGCTAGGAGGATGGATCTTGCTTGTGACAATTTAAGTTGTCGTGCCATTTTGTCCAAGCGCTGCTGCGATATTTCAATATGATTGCATGGTTGCGTGATATTGGACGGTTGGTACAGAGACGTACTCGGTTCCGGCTCTGAATCGAACGATGGTGATATGTACTCTTCTGGAGGGCTTAGAGGTTTGGGAATCGGAACTGCGTCTGAATGTGGAAGTGGTATTTGGGCCGATTTAACATCTTTATACTTATAACCAGCTGCATTCCTTCTGTTTAAACCAAACACATTATTTACACATGGGTAGCATCTATTAATTTCGTGGTTAATTGGCTCTGACCAAATCATTGGTATTCCATATGGCATTTTCTCTTGACGCCCATTCTTCCAGTCGAACAATCTTAATATGCATGTCCGACAAGCACTGTATGGCACCCAATCAACATTCTTGATTACTTTAATATTGAAATATTGTTCATATATTTCTGCGATTTCAGGCGTAATTTTTCTCTTATTTGGCATGATGGTATATTTTCCACACATGTAGCAAAACTGATTGAAATTTTTTCGGCAATCACTCATTTTGGTTTTCCACTGAATAAAATCACATACGTTCAATACATTCACAAATATCCATTTAAAAATAAAACAAAATACATTCTTAAGTTAAAAAACTACGCAACAAAAAATGCCAAATAAAAGTAATATTAGGAGCGCAACGATTAAATTAGATATATCTAGTATACAGTGTGTTTCGTTATGATTATAAACAGCAATTTTATTACAAGAAAGCAAAAATATCCACAAATCGCCATGTTCATAAGCAGAAAATGATGCCATTTACCCCAAACCAAAAATAATTGATTTTCTCGAAATCTCGACGTGATAGAGACTTTTGGTGAGCACCATTGGATTCAGAAAGCTTTTTTTAGTCGGAATAAAATTATTCCATTTTTGTATATTTTTTCGACTAGAACAGTGTTATCAGTACTTTAACGTGATATACTCAAAATTATAAAACAACGCTGCTTCTTCGACTTTTTAACCCTTAAAAAATGGTAAAATTTTAAATTAAATTGTCCCCAGCGCCCCCTGTATGTTAAAATCTAAAAATACGTGGATTTATTGCCATTAATAAGGTCTACATTTTATCTTAATTTCAAATCGATACGTTATTAAATAAAAATGTTATTACAAAATATCGAAATTTATCTATTTTTAACCACAGCGGTCAATGGATGATTTTTTTTTTTGAAATTAATGCACCGTTTAGATGTAGGAACAAGGTATTCAATTCTGGCATCACTTGCAAACAAATGTCCAAATTTTTTTCGATTTTTACGCGAAACCATAGATAAAAAATAAAGTAGTCACTATCAATAATGAACCCTGAAACAGTTTTTTAAAATTTTCATTTTAACAATTTTTTTTACACTATATGACGATATGTATACGAGCCCCGTCCTATATTAGTTGGCACAGTGAATTTAATGGTTTTAGTAAATCCAGGTTTTCTCCCAGTTTTTATTTTTGGGCAATTGAGTTGGTTTTGGTCATACATGTTTGATATTTCTAATACAATTCTTATTGACGTACAAAAACCTACAAAAGCAAAATTTCGCTCTCGAAATATTGATACATTTGAAGAGAATATAAATAAGAAAATGTTGTTAAAATAACTAAGTTAAATTCATTTCAGAAAAAATACTCGATTGCTAGTGTATAACTTACTATATAGCTTATACTATAGTAAACAAATATGTTTTTTATATACGTACTTAGCAAAAACCGCTAATTGCTTAAATTGCTTTTTGATAATGAAATCAAAATTTTTCAGCGAATGTTTTGAATTTATTTTTTAACTTATTAATAAGTCTAAATATTTTAATCTAATAATCTAATATTTTAATAATTTTTTTCGCGTTTACGTTCTTTTAAATTTTATTCAATATTTTTTCCACTTTTTATAAATTTTTTTAATAAGAAAAATTGGTCTAAAATCGAGCATCATCTATTTATTTAGTGATTCTAGCGCAGCATAATTTGTTTCGGATCATTAAGATCATCAAAACTTTGAGGATTTATTTATTTCTTAATTATTTTTTGGTTTTCGATATAACGCGAACAAATTACATTTCCTTGTGTAAGAGTTAAATACCTATTTTCATCATAAAATTCTATTATAATTTCTCCCAATGATTTTTTATGAATGTTTAATGAATCATAAAACTTATTTTCCAATAAATAAAGACACTTTTGGATAGGAAGAACGTGCCACCTAAAGCCGAGCACAATGCCGAAAATAAGACATAAGCCCGTCGCAGAGCTCCCAGTGACGTGGCGATGGAGCAAGGTCAAACATCACTGCAAGTTGGGTTCAACTTTTGCGAATACGTGTGTCACAGGTTCTTATGTCAGCCAATCATCTCTCTCTTTTCAATAATCAATACTTTTATTTTATTTTCCTATTTAGCGGTTATTTTTAAATTTTTCAGTTTCATTTTCAAAAATTATTCCAAAAAAGTACTTGACGAAATTTAAACTTTCGAAAAATTCCAGATATTGTATTCATGTATATTTCAAATGATTTTAGGATTATCTCAACTATTTTTCCAATCTAATTTGTTTATCTTTACAAGGTTATTTTTGTTTAAAATTAATTTAATGTCTTTTATTTTACCAGGCAAAATACTACCTACCTAATATTAAATTATGCAGAAAACAAAATTAGTGAAAGTAAGCTTCATTTAAAAAAGGAAAAATTCAAACAAAGATAAACAAAACAAACAATCGCTAGGGCTGATAAAAATATACCCGATGAATACCCGAAAAACCGACCATTGTAGACAGCTGACAATACGACATGGCGTATTGCGATTTTTTTATGTCCTGCGTTCGGACCCCTGCGACAATAGTAGACCGGGCTTAAGGTTTGCATAGTTGTAAAACTTTAAATAAAAGCCGAAAACAATAGCATTAAATCAAATTTTCATCAAATATATAAATTTATAAAGTAGCACTTTAGGGGACATCCATTAATTACGTGAGGCAATTTTGGCGATTTTTCAACCCCCCACCTCTTGGTGAGATGTCGTGAGATTTTGCTCGACCCCCTCCCCCCTCCCTTAATCTCACGTAAGATTTTTTGTTATATGATATACGTTGGAGGCTAGCCGCAGAACAGACTGTGCAGTGTACGACGAAATGATCGAGAGCGGCCACCGTCAATAAGCGCTTATATTTTAAACTCAGTAGAAATAATAAAGGTGGCGTGTAAAAAAATAAGATAAATTTATAAATTAGGCATTAAAGAGCTTAAAAGGTTTTGATTAAAAACTTCTTCTTTAATGATAAAACTGACGTAGTGTATTTATGAGTATCCCTGTCATGGAGCCTACACAAGGAGTCCAAACTTCATGTAATCTGATGTTCCGTTTATCGTTTGTTTTGTACTGAATCAGCACCAAAACAGCAGACGTCAGTACACAACGACAATCAGCGCCGCTGATGGTGAAAAAAGAAAACCTAATTTGTGCGATTTAGTGGACAGGTTTTGCCAATTTCCCCTATATTAAGTTCGGACTCCTTGTGTAGGCTCCATGATTCCTCTCTGGATTTATTTGTTATCGTTATAATTACCTAGCTTAAAAAATAACAGCTTTTAGCAACATCTATACCAGAATCATTAGAACACTATGATGATGCTTACTTGATCAGTCAATTTGATAGTTAAAATTAGTCTTATAAGTGTGTCGTTTTGTTAATTTACATTTTGTGGTATTTTGTTTTGGTTAAACAAGAAAAAATTGGAAGAAATTAAAATGTGGGGAGATGTAGAACTGACAGATATGAACGACTTCATCATCTTCACTTTTAATGCTGGCACACGCATTATGTGAAGAAGATCGGATTATAACAAGAAGAAAGCATTATAGGAAAAATAACAGAATGGGGCAGGGAATGTCGTAAGTGGGCATATTACATTTTCGACGTGTACTAACCTTCAATAAATGACAGTCATGACTAGCCTCATTTACCCAAAATTGATAAATCTACTTCTCTTTTTAAAATTTATTTATTTATAAATGAATTTTAAAGTTTTAATTTTTTTTAGTTATAAAATCAACAATAGCAAGGCCTAATAAATCTGATCCTGTGGCATTATATCATCAATATCAAAATATATGGAAAAGGACCAGTATACCTGGAGTTCAATCTAGGACAGACTTACGATGGGCTGTTAGAGAAAAAATGTTGAGCGGTCCAAAGGTAATTAAATAATAAAGTACTTTATTACTGATACTTGAAAAAGGACAAGTTTGGTGATATGTTGAACAAATATTATAAATATTCCCCTACACCAAAGCAAAACACAAAGTGCTTAATGTACTTTTCGCCAACGATGTTGGCATCTTCACCGTAAACGAACCGTGGACCGTAACCGCTTCATTAAACACCTAAAGAAAAACTAACAAACTAATTTATACAAACTAGAGTTGGATACCGGTCCGTTATCGCTATTTAAAAATTTACTTCTATTCTTATAGATGTATAAACTTTCATAACTATCTAGCTTGGTTCCCTACATTCCTTAATAATTTTAAGGTAGTCAAATCCTAGTCTATGACCATCATCAAGTCTATGTTGGGCAACACTTGATTCCTCTATCCTACCAAATCTAGCATGGCCCAAGTGCTTTTTGAACTTTACTTGGATGGATCGTTTGACAGTTTATTTCGTAGATCCCCGATTTTCAATTTTAGAAATCTGATCTTTTGGGTTGCCCAAAAGGGTCTGAAGTGTGTTACTGCTTTAACTAAAAGCAATTTTGAAGTCCAGTTTTCGAAAAATCCCTTCCTGACCTCGAGTGTACTGGGGTTTGAAAGAAATGGTCATAAACTTGACTTTTGTGGGCTCTGTTTGAAAAGTTGTTAACGTAGAAAGGCGAGACTTAAATTTAATTTTATTTACTAACTTACTAACCAAGTATGGTTCAAAGAGAACTTGGCCCATGCTAGATTTGGTAGGACAGATAAATCGAATGTTGCCCAACATATACTTCATGATGGTCATAGAATAGGATTTGACAACCTTAAACTTATTAAGGAAGTTAGGGAACCAAGTCTGCCAGATAGTTATGAAAGTTTATACATCTATAAATCTTTAAATAGCGATAACGGACCGGTACCCAACTCTAGTTTGTATAAATTAGTTTGTTAGTTGGGTTAGTGAATGACTCCAGTAATTTAGTTTCTGCTTAGCCTCATTTATTTAAGCATTGCGTAGTTCTATGACATTAAGTTTTGAGGGTTTTATTTGTTATAAGTAATTATTATTACTAATAACACACCTACAAATTGAGAATATGAGCATTTAAACATTTCAAGTAATTTAGCAAACGTGCATTACCTCGTAATCATTTTTTCTTTACTAATGGTATGTCTAGGGAAAATATATTTTTCGCATTCACTGCAAGCCTTTATATACTTCCTGGGACATATTACGGATTCAAATTCGTATTGGTTCGGTTACGACATTACCCCTTAAAATAGCTCCTGTTCTATCGCAATCAAATCCAAAAATATGTAATGAACTAACATATAGTTTTTGTAATCCTTTAACTTAATAACGATGTTCCATATGGGTCTTTCTTTCTCAAATCCATCAGGCAAAAAGGAGTAGGTCGGTATTTTTTAACGCAATTTTTTTACAGTTTCTCTACCGAAATCGATGAGACCCGTATTTTTTCTTTTTGCTTAAATTTGTTTTGTACAGCCGTACGATAACTTGGCCAAAAATGTTTCGATCGTTAGAATTTTTGTTTAAATTATAGGTAAATGTTTACTACATACAAAAAAATTAGGTGAATTCACTCAATTTTGGTAAAATTATTTTTTAAAAAAGGCAAAAAAATTGAGGTCAAAATTTTGACTTGGCCACATTTTTTTTTACTTCATATTTTTTTCGTTTGAAGTTATGAACAACTTTTACCAAAAGTCCCGTTGGCTAAATTCGTCTTTTTATTTTTATTATTTAATGAAACACCCTATGCACTTTTACATATTTCGATTCAAAATAAAATTCTGAATACATATACAGTGTGTTCCATTTAAAACGAACCACCCTAAATTTCTCGGAACCTGAAAATTTTTTGAAAAAACGCCGAGACACGTAAAGTTTTATATCGAGGGGGACAACTTTTCATGTCAAATTTTGGTTTCTCACCCCTACCCCTTGCGCCCAGGAGCTACCCCCTTAAGAATTTGAATAGGGAAGGGGTATCGACCAATGGATCATTTTAAAGGTCTTTCAAATCCCTATACATCAATGTTTTATTTTTTAAAATCGGTCTGTTTATTTTTGAGATATTTTAGAAAAACCATGCAATATGCTTTTAAAACTTCCCACCTTAAATTTTTCGAAAACTGGAAGAATTTGGAAAAAAGGCGGACACACATAAAGTTTTATATCGAGGGGCACATTTTTTGGCGCTACTGCTACTACTGCTACTTTAACCTCCTTGAGTTCTGCAACCCCTAACTCAAAAATCCTAAATTTCAAAAGGTATCATGTGACACATCATTTTAAAGCTCTTTTAATTTGCAATACAACTGTGTAATTTTGTAATTTACCGATAGGTTGTAAAGAAAAAAACATTGTTTATTGTTATTACCGTATCAATCCTGCAAAATTTGGTCAAAACGGCTTTGGTGAGTTGAATCTCTAATGTCTATGTATAATAAATTTCGGAACTAAACAAATCTTATCGATGAAAATCTAAAAATAAACGAAACTCTGTTAGATTTAGAAAAAAACAATGCCTATGAATTACATTCTAATAAATTTTTTACTGTTTTTGTTTGAAGAACTAAACTATTTAAAATAACTTACTTGTCGTCAATCGTTTTTTGCTTATTGTTGATAAATAAAGTTTTTACCTAAAAACGCTAACGTTCGATGCATTTTAAATCACTATTCTTACATTGCTTAATTTTTTAAATATGGTGTACACATTACAAGAACGTGTTGAGTTGGTAGGCTGCTATTACGAAAATCAAAAATGTGCTCGAAGAGCTGCAAGGGTGTTCAACGAAAATCACCCTAATTGCAATGTTGGCCACAAATACATCGGGGAATTAATCTCAAAATTTGTTGAAACGGGTTCAGTTTTAAATATAAAAAAGGCTTCCAGAGGACTTGTGCATGACGAAGGAGCTGCTGTGGCGGTATTGGGACATATCCAGCTTATGCCAAATACGCAGTCAATACGGCAAATATCTGCAACTTCCGGCGTGAGCAGCACTAACGTATTTAGAATTTTACACAAAAACAAGTTTCATCCCTACAAAATTCGGCTGGTACATGAATTAAATGAAGACAATTTTGATAAAAGACAGGAACTTTTCGAAATCATGAGTGACCGTCTTATTCAAAATCAAAATTTGTTGTACAACATTTGCTTTTCGGACGAGTCAACTTTCTCTCTCAATGGCAAGGTCCATCGGCATAACTGCAGGTTTTGGAGTGATACAAATCCTCATTTATACAGGAAAGTTCATACTCAACATCCGAAAAAGTTGAATGTTGGGGCAGGAAACTTGGGGGACCATTTAATTGGACCTCTGTTTATTCAAGGTAATTTGAACAGCTTAATGTATCTAAACATGATGGAAAATGAAATTGATGCCTTGATAACCCAAACTTTGGAAGATGATCCCTTGCTTGCTGAACAGGACTTATATTTTCAACAAGACGGCGCTCCTCCTCATTACGCAGCTCCAGTTCGTCGGCATCTAGATATGCGATATCCTGAACGTTGGATTGGACGAAGAGGTCCTGTAGAGTGGCCTGCCCGATCACCTGACTTAAATCCACTCGATTTTTTTTGTGGGGATACCTTAAGTCGAAAGTTTTCGTGACACAACCTGCGACTTTGGACGAACTACGTCAACGGATTATAACAGAGTGCCGTCAAATAACTCCAGTGATGTTCCGTAATGTGAGGGAGGGATTTGAATCCAGGCTTTATTATTGTTTGCAAGAGAACGGGGGACATTTTGAACATTTGACCTAAAAATATTATTATTTTTTATTTTCAATTGTAATTGATAAATAAATTTGTATACCTATTCGTTTAGATTTAGTAAAAACCAATTTCCAAACAATAAATATTGTTATTTTTTCTTGAGAACCAACCGATAAATTACAAAACTAACTACACAGTTGTATTGCAAATTAAACGAGCTTTAAAATGATGTGCCACATGGTACTTTTTGCAATTTAGGATTTTTGAGTTAGGGGTTGCAGAACTCAAGGAGGTTAAAGTAGCAGTAGCGGCAAAAAATGTGCCCCTCGATATAAAACTTTATGTGTGTCCGCGTTTTTTCCAAATTCTTCCAGTTTTCGAAAAATTTAAGGTGGGAAGTTTTAAAAGCATATTGCATGGTTTTTTTTAAATATCTCAAAAATAAACGATTTTAAAAAATAAAACATTGATGTATGGGGATTTGAAAGACCTTTGAAATGATGTATTGGTCGATACCCCTTCCCTATTTAAATTCTTAAGGGTGTAGCTCCTGGGCGCAAGGGGTAGGGGTGAGAAACCAAAATTTGACATGAAAAGTTGTCCCCCTCGATATAAAACTTTACGTGTCTCGGCGTTTTTTCAAAAAAATTTCAGGTTCCGAGAAATTTAGGGTGGTTCGTTTTAAATGGAGCACACTGTATATATATATATATATATATATAGGGTGTTATGTAATTAATGTTATATATTAAAATACTGAATACCTTTTGACATAAGGTGTAATGGAAAAATATTTTAAAAGATATTTTCCCAAAGATAAAGAAAATATATGCATTAGAAGTTTTTTATATTTTTTGTGATAAGCCACTGGTTACACACTTGTGTTCTGTGAATACATAGATACAAACCAACAAAGTAGCTGCGCGTTGCCAGTTGTAAAAAATTGTTACTAAAAAATTTTCTTGCATAAAATATATAAAAACTCAATAAATACAAAAGTTTTAAGCCCTTAAAGCTCTAATACCATTCTGTATTTATTTACTCAACCAGCTATTAAGCAATTATAAGAAAAATTAGTACCTATTTAAAAACTCCATAAAATTAATTTTTTCATCGGTTTTTTTCTTTCTGTTTACTCAGATGAAATTAGGACAAGTTCACAGGTTAATCGTTAAACATTCAATTTGTGTAAATAAATCCAAACGCCCAAAAGCACTTCCCTTAGTTAAGATATTTACAATTTGAGCACATAACCTACAATTTTTTGACAGAATTTGTTACCAACCATAACATAATAAATTAAACCAGATTAACTTAAAGTAAAGTAAATCATTACGAATTATGAATAAAGTTTAAATCTGGTGTGTCTAAATTTAAATATATTTTTTATAAGTATGTTTTTAAATCACAATGTTAAAACGATTTTTAAAAAATCATTAGTTTACAAATTTTTACAAGGTCTAATTAGTGATCTAGCGATTTCAGGTTTTTATATTTTTTCAAGTTTTTATTCTTTTATAAATATTTTGAAAGTTTGAAAATTTGTATTTTATTAGTAATAATAATAAGTAATTAGTGCGAAAGATTTAATGCTATGGCGGGTCGGGCGCTCACAAATATTCAATTAACAAATATGGGTTTGTGTTACGGGGAAGCGATGCAAAATGCTCGTCAAGCAAGAATTTTGTAGGTATATTCAAAATTATCACAACGCCAATGACGGACATCCACCGCCCTCGGAGCAAAGTTTTGTACGTGCTGTGCAAAATTCAAGAAGATGCTGATTGGAGCCGTAGTGTTTTGTATACCGATGAGGCCACATTTACGAGAGACGGGATTTGGGCAGCAACTCAGGAACTTAATTGTAAATAGTCCAGACATTTTTACGCGGGTGCGCGAAAGCATGCTTCGCAGAGTTTAAGCTTGCATTCTAAATAATGAAATCATTTTGAGCATCTCATATAAGGTAATACATTTTTAATTTTACATTTGGCAACACTGCATTTAAAAGTAATAGGTAAGGTTAATCCGCGGTTCCTAGTCGATCAGTGGCGTACTTTTTGGTAGGATAAAGGTTATTATAAATTATTTTTAGTCTTTGGAATTTAGAAAAAAAAAGTTTCAGGTGCTTCTTTATGGACCCTAAGGAACTACAAATTTTAATATATAACATTAATTGACGTCAAATTGATAG